AAAAAAAAAAAAGTTAAGTCAAGAAAAAAAAGTAAAAAGCTAATTGTAAAGTTAAAAACTAAAGTTAATAAGCCTTGTTACCAATCATATTTAGGTTTATAAACTAAAAAATTTAAGTCAGTATCAGCATTAATGCCTATAAGGTTATGTTGTACCAAAAAATGAGTTTCTTTCACTCTCAGAGTGCTTTTCATGAATTTCTTATAGAAACACTTTCATTTTTCTCAATATATTCAGGCAAGTTGGCATTTCTTGTTTTACATTGACATAAATTTTTGCCATCAAAATATCCATATTTTTTAATGTTACCAAGGTATTCCAATAACACTATTGTCTTGACATTTTGATTTTTAAAGTATTTCACAGAGTTCCCTAAAAAAGGTTAAACATCATATTCTGACTATGGTGGTAAGGCTGCTACATACTGCAGCACACCGTTGCGTGATGGATATATTATTACCCATCATCGTTTTCATTTGGTCTCTTTTAAATATATTAATTGTATTCTATTTTCAAATCCCTTTATATCATAGACATTACTGCATTTTAAGCCTGATTTGACATAAAGATTACTATTTGGAGCTGGGTTAGGGCTTGAAAATCTGCCACAAGACGTCAAAGTAGAGTACAATAAGAGTTTATATAAGGTTGTTTGGGCCCTGAGCAACGTGACATATCTAAACCAAATGCCAGGCGTAGCTAGGATGTTTGCTACTGAACCCCGAGCGGTGAAGGCTGATGGTAATGATATTAAACAGCAGAGTCTGCTGCCCAGTGTTCCTGTCCCGCGTGCTGTCAAGTTATTAGGTGACAGCTAGCTGGCCAATCAGCGAGCAGGCTAATGCTACTAAGCTAGGAGCTGGTTTAGCTTTGGATTTGTAGTGTTTTACGAGGCTTTATCTGGTTTAATAAAGAACAATACTTTTTATGAAGTATAAGGTCCCCGCTGTATTTAAGAATTCTCTCAATTGTTGTCGCATGAAAGAATAAGCGACAAGGCCCGGCTAACTTTACCGTCGAAAGCTAATCCAGCTAGCAGATCACCTAGCAACAATCCCCTAAGAAAAGCCTCGGCCATTCCAAAGCAGCGCTGTCAAAATAGATGCTTCAGTTTCTCTCCGTTTCGATTATTCCCACACTGGACTGCCCCCCCATTTTCATGCTGGCAGAGGAGGCTCCCCCCTCCCCTCCTCCCGTCCACAGGCGGGGCCCTCCCCTCTTACCTCTGAATTTCAGTTCGTGCTGAGGCTCCAAAAGCAGAACCTGTTCCGGCCTCGCCATATCCCAACAGCTGGAGCGGGGTTATCTCACTGCGACCGCTTCCTGACACCGTGTTAGGATGCTGTTAGGGTTTTGGTATCTGTGGGCCAGCGGTGTATGATCCGTCACCCCGGTCACAAGTACTACCAGAGCTGCTAAAGGCTGCTGTGATGCAGCAGGAAGAGAGTCCGCCTGGTGACGTCACGGCCTCTGCATAGCTGGGGAGGAGGGAGGGGTGAGGAGGGTGATGCCGGGGAGGACCCAGGGCTTGGAGGGAAATCTGAACCCAGCAGAAAGGTGCAGCTACAGGAGTTAGCACCTGTTAGCATCCTCTCAGTCTCTGGGGAGGAACAGACTCTAACATCTCACTTCAGGTTTCACCTCAAAGGTGCAAAACTGGATTAGTTTTCCTTCAGACACCTGAATACCAGCCATCTGTCACACTTCAGGGGTCACTGTTTAATACAATACTAAGCCATTAAGTATTTATTGAAACAATTTTAAAAAGTATCAATTACTTTATCCTATTTCCACATTTTATTTCTGTCATCCAATTTTACTGAACAAAACTTTGCTTCCACTGCAAATTATTTTTCCTGGTTTGAATTTTCTTTGGGAACAAATATCTTTTTTTAAGGTTTTGTTAAACCAACATTTTTTTTTCTAGTATATCTTTTTTTTTTAAACAAACTTTATGGTCCCAATTTAGCTCCATAGATATGTATGTAAATGAATAAACATTTTTCTAAATATTTAAATAAAAAATATTAAAAATGACTGGATAGATAATTATATTATGTATGATGTAGCTCTGGAGATCAGTTAAGCTGAATTAAAAACTTTATATATGGTTTTCACTCATAATTCAATTCAGTTTATTTATATAGCGCCAATTCACAACACATATCATCTCAAGGCACTTTAGAGACAATTCAACCAGATAACACATTCAAATTGATTCAAAGTTTTCTATCTAAGGAAAACCAGTTGATTGTTTTGACTCAAATGCAATCCCTCACACCAAGCATGCTTGTAGCGACAGTGGAGAGGAAAAACTCCTTTTTAACATGAAGAAACCTCCAGCAGAACCAGGCTCAGTGTGACCATCTGCTCAGGCTGACTGGGGTTCAAGGAGACAGA